GCAATTGGTTGGAGAGCTGGAGATTAATGGATGCGATCTTCCAGAGGATTGGGTTTGAAATGCTTGCGTCTCCTATGATGAGTGATATCTCATACAAACCGTTCATATGATTCAAGTCTTTAGCTTTCGTTTGCAAATTTAGATCCAATTTGTAATTCAGTGCTGAATCGGGTTCTGCAATGAATACAATCTCTTGCTTTGTCTTCACGTTCTTCATCTGAACAAAGGTCTGGTGAGCGGACATCACATCACCCTTTAGTTTGTCCTTCAATTGAAACTTAATGACAACTCTTTGTTGCGAATCCGCGTCTAATGGATGGGATATAGTCGCCGGGTATTGGAGTCTAAGGGAGACAAGTGTTAGATTAAACCCAACATATTATCAACCATTCATTTGTGGCAAACAATATATTTCTAATCTATTGGTGTACCGACTGATTGGGAACAGGTATTGCATGGGAGTGTCAACCCTGTGGGTGAGGCCGGTGTGGCGGTTATGGAAATACAAATCATCACTTACGCAGTCACAGCTCCCGTACCACTCGTATCCCTGTCCGCAACAGTGATCTCTGCGTTCACAATAGAAACTTGTCTTAAGACTATCGGTGGATCCGATTGCTCTACGGGTGTCTTCTCAGCNGGTTATGGAAATACAAATCATCACTTACGCAGTCACAGCTCCCGTACCACTCGTATCCCTGTCCGCAACAGTGATCTCTGCGTTCACAATAGAAACTTGTCTTAAGACTATCGGTGGATCCGATTGCTCTACGGGTGTCTTCTCAGCCGCCTTTGGAGTGGCGCTTAAGACACCACTGATTGCCACACAAACCATCGCTATCTCTATGAAATGCATTGTCTCTGAAATGGTAATCAATGATTAGATTATGGTTTGCAAATTGCATGGATCAGGTCTGCATGATTGTCTCACATCTGGTATGAGATGAATGTATTGCTGCGGACATGAAGTCAATGAATGGACACGTGTTCTGCAGATGAGATCAATTGAATCTCAACAACACTTATACCCAAAGTGTATGCATTCAATGCAATGAGGTATGAGTTGTACTCAACGACAACACCGGCTCTACTCTGCTATAGGTTTCTAACAACACAATAGGCATTCATTGACTGGGAGGGCGTCCCTCTATTACTTCACACCCCTCCCATTCAACCAAAACAAGCAAATAAATGAACTTGTTGTCATTTTAATCATTTTACATTTAATTAATTTGTTAATATTAATAAAAAATAAAATTATGTACCATCCACGGTTTAGGTGTGCTTGTTTATTTGAAGTATTCAAATATGTGTCCTTCCGCCTTGCGTTGCAGTGCTGCACATTGAGATGTGCATATAATACATACAGTATTGCCTTTCTAATATGAATAGAAAGTTTCTATGTAAATGTACACCTGTGTACATTTACAAACTTACAATATAATATCTACAATACAGTACAGATTCTACAGTAATATTTACTGTAATATATTGTGTGGTGACTGAAGCGCCACTTTTAAGAAGCGTTGCTATGATATTGAGACGAGACTTCACAACACATCCAATGATTTGAAATAAATATATAAGTTTTCAATTGCGAGACAACGATGCCGTCCACCCGTTTAATACCCGTGCGATTCATTATAATGATAGGACATCTCGTTATTCTCATACTTCTCTTATGGGATAGAGTGAGTCCATTGCAGTCATTGCTATATTCAATATACAGTATTCATTGATGACTACAGAATATTCTATACAAACAATGTGCAGATTCTTAGATTATTTTAGACATAATATAAGACATGATTAAAATAATGACTTTTTATTTATAGGACGATAGCGTAAGAGCTTGTATTCCATGGGATTATAGCACCACTCAATACGACACCACTCAATACAACACCAAGAATATCGAGTAATATAATTTTTATACAATATTCTATAGCATATACAGTATTCATATTGGACCTAACTTAGTTTAACATACCAGGTATTAATAGTTTACTTTGATATTTGTCTAGGTTAATCACAGGATTCTCTTTGTCGCTCGTATTACTATTTGTAGAATTTATTGGATTTTTAAGTGGAATTTCAATGTTTTATTCAATTCAATCGTTATTTTGTAAGTAGTCATTTGTTAGATACTGTATATAATTGAGACAAATTTAATGTATGATAGAATTATAAAATCAAAAATGACACTTATCAAATGTATGATTACAGCATTATTAGCCCATGGAATGGCATGTGTATGTCTCTGCTATTTCATAACTGATGTCTGGGACTGTGGCTTATTTTGGTGGATATTTGCATTGTTCAGTGCACTGCCAGCCCTCACAGAATTGTTACTTATGATTTCTGTCCTCATTTTCAAAAAGATATAATTTATGTCATACTTTCCAGTCATATACAGTCAAACAATATCCAATTGCATCTCAACCTTTTAACAAGGTTATTTTTCAAAAGATTGTATCATATTTTAATACCGGTAGTAGGTTCATTATGTTTAATAAGCCTTGAGAATTGTGTTAGCTTTAATTAACAAAATAAAGCAAAAATAAAATATAGTTTAGAAATATGGCAGAAATATCAAAATATAAATAGTAAAATCTTATACAAAGAAATAATTATACTTTATTTTAATAATTAAAACGATAATTATATTCTAATTCTTATTACTCTTATTAAGCAATAATTCAAATAACTGTATGAGTCAAATAATGCATTCATTAGAGTATTAGCTAGTATCTTTGAAATAATACGATAATCTTTGGGCAAATACCTGTATTTATTACTAAAATAAAGTCTACTCCTTATATTTTGAATATATAGTTGCCTTTTGTGGTATAATTGGATGTCAAGAATTTACTGGTAATAAGAATTGGCTGATGAGGATACTCGACAGTCAGCACAGATTTGGCTGCTATTTGAAGGGTTCAGATGAGAAACGCCAGAAACGAAGGGAAAGAAGTTTACAAAACGGATGCAGTTTTCATAAGACTTCGATGGCGTTGGCGTCAACTGTGGTGTATATACGAGATATGATTTCACACATTATGACAGAGACTTTTGATGTCAAGATATAAAACACTCAATTCTTATCGCAAACACTAATCTATTGAATGTCATACTTATATTATATTTATTCACTTGTATTGTATTGAATGTTATCTACAATTATCTGGTGTTTATTCGACAAAACAAAACTTAAAGTTAATATTAATATAACTAAATATTAGACAATTATTTGCTGTTGGAGTAAGTTTGTGATAAAACATTGTTTTAGATAAAACATAATTCCCTGTATTAGCATTAAATCCAATGTTGTGTAAACTCTTTCGATAATAAAGTAGTCTAACAAACATTGATCTCAATTACAGACCATTTTAATTATAATGCAGTCGACAATTAATTAATAGAAAGTATTTCTTAAGCAAAATGGATAAGAATTTCTGTGAAATGCTATTCAATCCTACTTTTAATAATGAAGAATCCGTTAAACAAAACAACGAATCGTTTTTTACTTCTTTTAATTACAATAATTATAATGAAGAAGAAGTGGGATTTTGTCTTAATTTTTGTGATCAATTACTTACAGATAATAATACCAATAATAATAATAATAATAATACCACAAAAGATGTATCCAGTGATTGGGAATCAGATGAGAGCGAGGATACAGACGATGACACTGAAGAGAATATGGATCATATGATTCTGCAAACTATTCCCATAACTCATGATTCTGAGTCCAATCATTTGAACCATTTTTGTCAACTTTTACCACAATTATTGCCTAAATTTTGTGATTTCGAGCAAATAGACCCCGGAGTGAGGGATGAGATGATTGCCACCGAGAATGAAGCAATAAATATGGATCTCTTGACTTGTTCCGCTGCCACAGCCAACTGTTATCGAGACAATTGTAAAATGAGTATCAAATCAAAGTATGGAAAGTGGGGTTGCAGTGGACGATCCAATCCGGACATAGGGTTGGGTCCACTCTCGCAACTTTTTATTGATAATTATGTCACAAGTAATGCTATTTTAACCACAAATGCAAATAAGGAACAAGAAATTCAAACTCAAAGTATGGATATGTCTGTTATGCCATCGTTTGAACATAACTTTAAAAGTGAAACACATTTCACTGGAAGAAGTGTTTTGAATGAACATCCAGACAGTTATTGCCAACAAATGTATTGCAATCAGCAAAACCAATACAACAATTCATCAAATTTTGAACCACAAAATCAGTTTCATATGAATGAAAATAATTACATTGAAAAGTGTCGTCAGACAGGAATGTCATTGCATTATACAATGTATGATTCACATCAATGCAATCAAAACTATTCTTATAATAATCACTTTAATGCTAATCATAATAATTATGAGACAAACTCTATACAGAACTATTATTATCAATAAAATTGTATTTTCCCATTAGAGATAGTGCAAAATGTCAGTTTTAATAGCCTAATGTTGGTGAAAAGGTGACTAGAATATTGACTAGTCCTATGGATTCAACTAATTTGAACAAGCATACTGTATATCATAGTAAAATGCGATTTTAATGATAATAATCATAACACTATTTTTGTATATTTGATTGATTTATTTTTAAAATAAATTGTAATAACAATATTAGAATAAAATTGCAAAATATAATAATTTAAGAATGTTTTCAAATGTTTTAAAGATTTATTGCAATAGTTATTTGGTTTTGAGATACTTTTGCCATAAAACAGGAAACTCTGGACTCAAATGTATACGAGAGACCGAATAAAAGGTGATATCATTGGAGTTGATGACAGCAAACAGTAATCGTTTTGAGCGACACTTATGCTGCAAATCAATCACTTCTTCTATTCGTGGAACCGTTTGATCGGCTTTTGTCACAATCACATGAAAACATGGATTCTCTTCCAACTTATTGTCTGATTGTCTGAAGACATCGACAATTAAGTTATACTTAGACTCAGAAGTGACTCCATATTGTCGGTGTTTGGGACCAAATGATTGGATCAATGAAAACAACTCGTCGGACGACAAAATAGATCCCAAATCACACAATGGCTTCACTTTTCCATTGAACAGTACGAGCGATGAGTCCAACTCAACAGCACTTTCATTGTCTTTGATTTCATAGATAATCGACTCATTGGACACACATTTGGTTTCATCGATCACTTTGGGATCGCATTTAGCAGACAATCGAGAGATCAGTGCTTTTGGTAAGAAATTCTTGTGAAGACCTCTTATATTAGTCATTGACTTATAGTTTGATATTTTGTCACTTAATTCATAAGAGTTTGCATTTATAGCCAAATGTTTATTACATTGAAAGTGACAATCACTTAATCGTCTCTTTGAATTTGGGATCAATTGCTGGTTTTGTATACTTTCATCGCACTCTTCGTGCCTTTTCACGAAATAACCACTTCTTGAGAGCAAACCATAGATCAGATAAAAATCCATTTCATTTTCATTCTCAATAAACAATTGAAACGATTGTTCAATACTTAGAGGAATGCCATCAAACAGTACTTCCATTGATTGGCTTTCCATGAGATAAAGGGCTTCGAAAGGCTTCAGATATTTAAGTGAATTAATGGTCAAACCAATGGATCCATTGATGCCCTTATTATGTGTCACTTCGACCAGTTTGAGATCACACCTCCAGACACCTCGACTCCCATTCAATTTGATCCGATCCTCACTAATACTCTTACGTTTGCATTCAATCTTCGAGTCTATCAAACGCGTCAAACCATCCAATGATTGGATCCATTGGTCATCAGGTGTTTGATTGTGTCTTAGACTTGATTTGAATGATTCACTCATTGTCTCAAACGATGAGTTGTGTTTACATCACGTGATAAACATATGACTCGAGTGTGCAATGAGTCAATGCATTGGTGTTGCACGAGCCGTATAATCACTGTCTGTCTGTCTGTCTCTCTCTCTCTCTCTCTCTCTCTGTCTGTCTGTCTGAGACAGACAGACAGACAGACAGACAGACTGTGAGTGTGTATGACATTACTCACCGTGTTGGTTACGTAAATTGACAATTGACGGTGGTGATGTGTTTAACTAACTATTGAATGTTAATCACACCTGAGTCTTATAATTAGATGAATGACCACTCATTCATGACTCAACATTGGACTCAACAAATGTGAAGACTTGTAAACATGACTTATTACAAGACATTGGGAGATCACTTGCAATTATTATAGCCACCGCTCATAAAACACACGTAGACTACCGAATAAAGCATTTAAATAAAATAAATGACAATAGATTTCCCGTGATGAGTTTCATTTTATTAACAAACTAACCAATTGATAACAATTATGTCATTTTATTACAATATATAAGAAATAATTTAAAGTTAACTTAAAAGTAAAAAAGTTTAGAAAGTGTTTATAATTATTTTCTATTCTTGGAGAGTGTACTGAGTAGTGAATGTCCGGCAATAAACGTAATGACTCCCAAACCGGTCAAGTATTTACACGTTTGAAACATATTTAATTTGATGAAAAAGCAGACATAGAGTCCGAATATGAGGGCCAGTCCTGTGTTTCTGTCTGTCTGTCTGTCTGTCTGTCTGACACTCACACATACTGTAATGAGTGGCACAACCAATGCATTTAACTGTTAACTGCCACCACTACACAAATTGATTGATAACTTACAATTAGTGTGGACTACTGTCTTATAATTAGATGAATGACCACTCATTCACGACTCAACATTGGACTCAACAAATGTGAACATGACTTATTACAAGACATAGGGAGATCACTTGCAATTATTATAGCCACCGCTCATAAAACACACGTAGACTACCGAATAAACCATTTAAATAAAATAAATGACAATAGATTTCCCGTTATGAGTTATATTTTATTAACAAACTAACCAATAGATAACAATTTTGTCATTTTATTACAATATAAAAGAAATAATTTAAAATTAACTTAAAAGTAAAAAAGTTTAGAAAGTGTTTATAATTATTTTCTATTCTTGGAGAGTGTGGACTCATCACTTACAGGCCGTTATTTGCATTACTGAGGGTTTGGCCAGTTCATAAATGTGCAAACTTTGTATAAATTAAACTACTTTTTCGTCTGTATCTCAGGCTTATACTCCCGGTCAGGACACAGGAAGACCGGCGCTGATAAAGCCAATGGAAAGCCTGAAAAGTTGAGCCCAATCTTGAACCACTGAAATGATAAATGAATTATTAAGACAATTGTCTGGCAAATACTCTATGGTATGAGCACTCATGGAGTCAAATATCAACTATCTTTTAGCCATTCATTACTTTCCCAAAGCTATGGAAGAAACTATTAAATTATGTTTCAATGTCTCCAACGAAGCTTTGGTACAAAACTACAAATACTTCAATAATGAGAGTCTAAATGACTTACGAGTCCGAAGAGTATGACTATTGGCACCACAACTAGAATAGAGAAAGCCATCGAAACTACAGGCGCCGGACGATTCTCTGGTTCTCTGAACAAGTGCTTGATCTCAGGTTTGGACACAAAAGGAGAGACCACTTCCTCAGAGTCGGGCAATTGGTTGGAGAGCTGGAGATTAATGGATGCGATCTTCCAGAGGATTGGGTTTGAAATGCTTGCGTCTCCTATGATGAGTGATATCTCATACAAACCGTTCATATGATTCAAGTCTTTAGCTTTTGTTTGCAAATTGAGATCCAATTTGTAATTCAGTGCTGAATCGGGTTCTGCAATGAATACAATCTCTTGCTTTGTCTTCATGTTCTTCATCTGAACAAAGGTCTGGTGAGCGGACATCACATCACCCTTTAGTTTGTCCTTCAATTGAAACTTAATGACAACTCTTTGTTGCGAATCCGCGTCTAATGGATGGGATATAGTGGTCGGGTATTGGAGTCTGTCGGGAGACAAGTGTTAGATTAAACCCAACATATTATCAACCATTCATTTGTGGCAAACAATATATTTCTAATCTATTGGTGTACCGACTGATTGGGAACAGGTATTGCATGGAGTGTCAACCCTGTGGGTGAGGCCGGTGTCAAGGTTATGGAAATACAAATCATCACTTACGCAGTCACAGCTCCCGTACCACTCGTATCCCTGTCCGCAACAGTGATCTCTGCGTTCACAATAGAAACTTGTCTTAAGACTATCGGTGGATCCGATTGCTCTACGGGTGTCTTCTCAGCCGCCTTTGGAGTGGCGCTTAAGACACCACTGATTGCCACACAAACCATCGCTATCTCTATGAAATGCATTGTCTCTGAAATGGTAATCAATGATTAGATTATGGTTTGCAAATTGCATGGATCAGGTGAAGTGATTGTCTCACATCTGGTATGAGATGAATGTATTGCTGCGGACATGAAGTCACTGAATGGACACGTGTTCTGCAGATGAGATCAATTCAATGAATACAACACTTATAACCCAAAGTGTATGCAATGACTGCAATGAGGTATGAGTTGTACTCAACGACAACACCGGCTCTACTCTGCTATAGGTTTCTAACAACACAATAGGCATTCATTGACTGGGAGGGCGTCCCTCTATTACTTCACACCCCTCACATTAAACCAAAACAAGCAAATAAATGAACTTGTTGTCATTTTAATGATTTTACATTTAATTAATTTGTTAATATTAATAAAAAATAAAATTATGTACCATCCACGGTTTAAGTGTTCTTGTTTATTTGAAGTATTCAAATATGTGTCCTTCCGCCTAAAGTTGCAGTGCAAGCATTGAGATGTGCTTATAATACATACAGTATTGCCTTTCTAATATGAATAGAAAGTTTCTATGTAAATTTACACCTGTCTGTATGCACAATATAATATCTACAATACAGTACAGAATCTGTACTACAGATTCTACAGTCATATTTACTGTAATATATTGTGTGGTGACTGAAGCGCCACTTTTAAGAAGCGTTGCTATGATATTGAGACGAGACTTCACAACACATCCAATGATTTGAAATAAATATATAAGTTTTCAATTGCGAGACAACGATGCCGTCCACCCGTTTAATACCCGTGCGATTCATTATAATGATAGGACATCTCGTTATTCTCATACTTCTCTTATGGGATAGAGTGAGTCCATTGCAGTCATTGCTATATTCAATATACAGTATTCATTGATGACTACAGAATATTCTATACAAACAATGTGCAGATTCTTAGATTATTTTAGACATAATATAAGACATGATTAAAATAATGACTTTTTATTTATAGGACGATAGCGTAAGAGCTTGTATTCCATGGGATTCCATGGGATTTAGCACCACTCAATACAACACCAAGAATATCGAGTAATATAATTTTTATACAATATTCTATAGCATATACAGTATTAATATTGGACCTAACTTAGTTGAACATACCAGGTATTAATAGTTTACTTTGATATTTGTCTAGGCTAATCACAGGATTCTCTTTGTCACTCGTATTACTATTTGTAGAATTTATTGGATTTTTAAGTGGAATTTCAATGTTTTGTTCAATTCAATCATTATTTTGTAAGTAGTCATTTGTTAGATACTGTATATAATTGAGACAAATTTAATGTATGATAGAATTATCAAATCAAAAATTAGACTTATCAAATGTATGATTACAGCATTATTAGCCCATGGAATGGCATGTGTATGTCTCTGCTATTTCATAACTGATGTCTGGGACTGTGGCTTATTTTGGTGGATATTTGCATTGTTCAGTGCAATGCCAGCCCTCACAGAATTGTTACTTATGATTTCTGTCCTCATTTTCAAAAAGATATAATTTATGTCATACTTTCCAGTCATATACAGTCAAACAATATCCAATTGCATCTCAACCTTTTAACAAGGCTACAAGAATATGGAATGCAGAATGTGCAACATTTCATTTGAACATGCTACATTTAATTAGTTTAACTCGTGTTTAGATGAAATCCTCTTGAATTGCAAACTAGAGATAGAAGTGACCATTCATTTTAGACTTCTTTTTGGTCATATACTGTCTGAGTTTATCGAAATCTATGGGTTAATGGCATCCATTCACACCTCATATACTGTAATGTTGAACAAATACCGTACAATATTACTGTTATATAAATACCGGTAATAATCATAATAATAATAATAATAATCATTACCATAATAATGTAAAATAATGTACAGAACATAGATTTCGTTTAATGAATGCATTTTATTACCAAATACTGTATAATGTGTATTAAATGAATGTTCAAATATATACTAAATATTGATTAAAATATATCTGATTTCAATAGAATCATATAACAAATGATTATTTATAAGAAATAGATTTATGTGATTTCAATTCATTAGATGTCTATAAATAATAGTTAAGATGATTAACAATTTATGAAATGTTCACTATTTTGTCAGTTTGTCAAATAACAAAGTCTTAAATAAGTTTACAATTGATATGTTTGTCAATAATGAGCATAAAATTCGTTCATAAGTTAAGCCCAATCGCAATGTTAGGCTGTATTTCAGTTATAAATATAATCACAATTTGATTGTTAGGACGGATTCGTTATGCATAGCATTAAGTTCTCGTAATTTACCTAAACTTCTAATAAATCATTTATTTTTCACTTCCAAGAGTTGCGGATAATTTTCGACAATATTGAGGAGTATGTCATCGATGTATGTCCGCAGCTTCACATTCACTTCCTGCTGATCCTTCAGAGCTGTTCTCAACTATTGAGTCAAACAAATGACAAGTGGTTACAAACAAATCAAATAATGCTTAAACAAAGTGATGAATACCTGATCTGAATTAAAAGTTCCTAACTCTGAGGCCAAGGATGAGACCACTTCTCCCTCTTTGAGAAGATTTCTGCCCTCTTCTAACCGATTGTTGAGCAGTAGTGCCGACAGCTCTTCATTGGCCTCTCGAAGGGCTATGTTTTCGTCTTTCAGTTCTTTTAACTGTCGATCCATTTCGGAGTTGTATAGCATATCGATGTCATCACTTGAAGACATGGTTCGCTGCTTTGTTTCAAACAGTTTCGGAGCTTTCATGTCAACCAACTCTTGGTTTAATACTTCTATGAGTCGAGAGTTGACACTCTCTTCTTCTTCGTGTTTACGGACAACATCTCGAAGTTTGTTCACTTCAAGCCTCAGGCCATCGATTTCAATACTCTTGTCATTGATCTGATCCTCGAGTTCTGTTTTGACGGTTTGAAGCCTTTCGACCATATTTTGGTACTTTCGTGACTCGTCTTTAGCGTCGACTAACTCTTGTTGTAAATTATAGATCCGATTCAAGTATTGTTCACATTCTTGAGATTTCTCCCTCTCATGTCTGGCCATCACATCCTTATAACGTCTGTCTTCTTCTCCACTCCTCTCTTCGTTTTGAATCTCAATATCTCTGAGCTGTTCCTCTAAGGTATGTATTCTGAACACAAGTCAACAGTATTTATGAAAATCCAGTCAAAACTCATAGAAATAATTTGTGGCAAATAAATAGCATATCATTTGTCGCCAAAAGTATTGACTAATAATCGAAACACAATTCATTTGAAACCAAATGCTGGGAATGTATTACAAATGAATGGCACGAAAATGATAGTAAATCATGTGAATGACAATAACACTGCTGTAAACGTCAACAAAACTGCTAATAATAATAGCTTTGAATGAATGGAAGAATCCATTCCTCAAAGGCTTGGGGTTTGCATTGAGTTGTGTTTCGTATATCAGTGTACAGTAAGCCTTATACTGCAATATACTGTAATTTATACGGTATTACATGATAAGCAATTTTGCACAAAAAAGTGATACAAAAAACTATTTTTGTAACACTTTTTTAACTTTAGTATCAATTGATATGAATTATATAATCTGGAAATGAATGAAAAGCCCTCTGAAGGGATCAATACTTAGTCATGAGGTTTGCGTTTTCCTGTTTGACTCGCGTATACTTGTCTTCGTTACTGATCTGTCCCTCAGACAAGTAGTTCACCTGATCTTGTAATGACTGGATCTGCGGATCAAACCATTCACATAACAACTTCAATACACTAATCATTAAAGACATGAAAACCAACTTTTTGTGTCAAATTGATAACGTCTTCTTCAATACTGATGGTGTCGTTAATCATATCATCCGATTCACAGCTCAAAGAACTCATAGGACTCGAGCCATTCGTGCCATTGGTTGGACTCATTCGGAACAGTTCTCTGCAGACAAATCACATTCATTTACATATATTTAGCACATGTTTGGTACAGATTATAAGATTAACAGATAATAGGGCACCACTTAATCCCAGATAACAAGACACATGATATGATCATAAGATTATTGACAGAGAGATAAGTGTCCGTCAAATGATAGGAAAGATTAGCCTATTATTAGTAAACAATAATTGCAATCATAAAGTGGTAAACAGTGGCAAAGAGTGGTGTGGATGCAAGTGATGGCTAATTAGGTTATCATAAAGTGATCACTCGATGGCATACTTGGCGTGTTGTTGGGCTGATGAGGAAGAATGGCGTTTGAAGTTATGGTTAGAAGTGGATCTGCGATACATGTCTTGAGGCACTGATTGATACACAAATACTCGACAACTAATACTAAAACTAATGAAATAATGAACAGATTGTGAAATAAATGTATAAATGAGACGTCAATACAAAACACAATACAATTGACTCACATCTGAGTGTTTAGGCATTACTGGCATTACTAATGGAAACAACACTTGTTTTCTCTTCAAACAAACAAATCTAACATAAGATGTAAACCACCCCTAAGGCTATCCATGTCTACCACTACCTGTGCCACTGCCTAACATTACACCAACACAACAGGCTCTACCTCTTTATTGCATGACATACCTGTGCTCCACATGATTTAATTAACAATTAAACTTATGTTTTTCAAATTGTGACTAATGTTAAATATTTTACAAACATTTTTCTAATTTGATTGCAATTTAATTATATTAATAGCACAACATATGGTCATTACAACGACTGCTACTTAACTTGTAATAAAGTTGCAAACCTCTCAAAGTTGTCCATTTAGTTGCGAGTACTGTAAGGTTTTATCACATAAATCGGTTACATTTTGTTAGGATTATATGTATTCATTGCAATTGTAATTAATTTACATTAAATCAGATTCAAAAGTACAGCGATTTTCAATGAAACAAATCTAAAAGTCTTGCACTTCCCTAAGAAATCACGTGTTTTGATAAGTTATCGCAACTTAAATGAAAATAAATAAATATTTATTTAATGAAATCACAATTTATAATAACTTTATTTATTAACTAATGTTTGCATAGATTTCACATAACTCTATGCCATAGAGTCTATGGCAACATATAAAAGTAAATTAAATTAACTGAAATGAAAATTTTATTGAATGCTATGTTTTATTGTCGCGGTATTGAGACAGGACTTCCTTTCGGCGAAGTGTGTGAGCGCTTCTGGCCTTAAGTTCTTCGATCTGTTCGTTGAAAAGGCATTTGAGAGTCGGAATCATTTTCGGCAATTTATTCAGATCTGACATCCGAACCCTCATATTGTCGAAAGCAATGCCAACCCTATCGTTAAAGTTCTCATTAAAGACAGGAATTTTGGCATATCTTTGACTAAAATGAGTTAAAATAGTGAACTTTGCGTTCATGTCTTTGCCCACATCTATGGCCTCAGAGGTGGTGCTGTGGAACTTAAGCCGCGCCTCATCCACGAGCTGGTCCTCCATCGACGCCTCGTGTATCAATAGGTCGCAGTTGAGGCCAATTCTGGTCAGATTAGGGGTCGGCTGTGTATCGCCTGAATACACGACTTTGAAATTGGGTTCACTTTTAGTGGTCAACGAAACGCCGTAACTGTGAGAACAATGCGGTACTAAACAAGTCCTCAATTCTTTTAAGCGCAACCTCTTTAGCACTTTATCGTCACTTTCTGTTAAAAACTTTTTGATAGCAATAATTTCAAACATATGTGAGATCTGTTCCACACATTCGTTGTAATTCTGGAGCCAATTAATGACTGCCGGGGGTATTATCAATAACAATGGCTCATCCGTCACAAGTGATCGCTTCTTCAAGAGTTGAAGAATCCCTAAGTGATGGTCGGCGTGAAGATGACTCACATAAATGGCTTTCAGTTGCTTTAATCGAGAGTCACATTCTTTGCCATAAAACCTGGACAACTGTCCAAAGGTTCCTTCGCCACAATCCAATAGAAACGATGTCTCGGAGTCAATGTTAAGCCAAATGGCACTCGTATTCCGCACTTTCGACGGAACTGCAGAACCGGTTCCTAAAAATATGATTTCCGGATAATCTTGGGCTGTATATTGGAGTTGCGATTCAAGTGAATGGTATTTCTTAAGACTTTCCATAAACTCTGAGTTAGAAAAGGCCTCTTCTTTAAAGGCGTTGACATCGATGTCAACAATATTCTCGGAATCATATCCCTTGACATTGGAAGGCCTCAAATGATATTTAGATAAAGTGTTTGTATTTCTAACACTATTTGATTGATAGGCTTGTGGTGTGTCTTCATTTCGCAGACAATCAAGTAATGGAAATATGAATGAATCGATAAGATTGAGCTGAATCTGGAGTCGATTAGATCCAACATAACTCTGTTTAGGATTATCTTCGTTTACAATCAAGTGCTCGACTGAATCACCCAAACGTTTCATCCATTGCTGGTATCTCTCATCAGTGAACACATCCGAAGGCGTGAAGTGCACGACAACTGAAACCAAATTCGAGGACTCGTTTGATAGACTTTGAAGAATGGATTCGTTTGAAAGTAAGGAATCAATGTATTGAAGGGACGGACACTCGAGTACTATAAAAATGGGTCCCTTGTCTTCAGGTCCCATAACATCTTTGGAACAAATGACTCGATTATCTGATAAGACAATGTCTTGACCGGCTTTAAGTTTTCCTAACAGAGGCCCGGGAGGTACCTTGAGTTCAATGCACTTCTTAATCAACAGCTCTCCCGGTCTGTCCTTTAGTTTACAGATATATATGAATGAGATTTCGTTTGAAACTTTTGACGTGTTTTTCGAGTTGTCTTCGACGGCAACGGATGCCTGAATGGGTAAACACCTGATGGCGAGATCTGTGTCCTCGAAATGGTAATCAATATAACTATTGGTTTGTATTTTCATTCCCGAAAACGTCAAGAAGTGGTGATAAAGACTGAGGAGGCGATCGATGTGTTGCGGGCCGTGGAGTGTAATGTTTGGGACACCGATGTCCTGACAGGTGAGCGCCAGACCAACGATTCCACTCATGTTTTCAATGCACCGCCGAGTGATGAATATATTCTCCAGTTTCGATAATTTGAGTCTAATTTGAGAGACAATTCATTAACAGTAATACAAATACAGACACACATGGAGTGCATGTGGTGTCCAATGATCACCACACATGAAGTGCATGTGGTGTCCAGTGATCACTAACTTGTGTTCATTAGCCAAGCGTTGTGTGCCTTCACCGCAATTGAATAGATAACTGTTGCGATCGGTCCACACATACAGAGCTCTTGGATTGCCTTTGGATCCGTTGCCCACAACAGACAATTGAAACACATTTGAGGCCAAAGTATTCTTCGCAGTCTTTTTGGCGCTCTTCATGCGATTGTCCCGCAGTTTCTGCAGTAAATGACTCTTATCTTTGGGCATCTCTTCCTCTTTGGCTGTAGTGTTGAGTCGATTATAAGAGAAATGTTTCCAACAATTAATAAATAGATGTTTGGATCGATTGGTGAGACATGTGTTGCATTTGATGCCAAACGTAGCCATACTTTGCAGTCAATGCAACCAATGATGCAATCGTTCAGTCATTCAATGCTTGCATACATTCACTCATCTATTGGCGAGTCTTTGAGTGGTGTTTGGATCAAGTGGTGAGCCATGACTGCCACCAATTCGTATAACTTTTGGATGGATGAACTGAACGGATGCCGCTATATATTGGCCCCAATGGTGGATCAGTCGGAACTGGCCTTCAGACTACTGGTGCGACAATATTATGGCATTCAATGCTGTTATACACCAATGATTAACGCAAACGCTTTCATCAAAAACATTAAATACCGGAACCAATGCTTACAAACCACTCCTGAAGACCGACCACTTATTCTTCAGGTATTCACCATTAGATTAATGGTAGTAAAGGATGTATTAATACAAACATATGGTTTGAATCAACAGTTTTGTGCCAATAATAGTGAAGTCTTGTTGGAAGCGTCAAGACTTGCGGCCAATCATTGCGATGCCATTGATATAAACCTCGGATGTCCTCAATCAGTGGCTAAACGCGGACATTACGGCGCTTTCCTTATGGATGAATGGGATCTCATATATGAAATGAGTATTGAATTTGATTTCATTTGTGACATAATCATTGGTTTTATACGTGAAACTCAGTATTGATTGTATGATTGTTTAGTAAATCGTGTTTCAACTGAAATCCAAATCCCAATCACTTGTAAGATAAGGATTTTTGCAGAAATGGATAAATCGGTTGAATTCGCAAAAATGTTAGAAAAAGCCGGCGTTTCGCTGATTTGTGTAAATACTTGACTCGATTTTATTGTTCCTATAATTAAATGCTATAAACTGATGGTTAGGTTCACGGGAGACGTCGTGAACAAAAAGGTCCGTTGACTGGAAGGGCCGACTGGGAGTACATCAAAGCTATTAAGTATTGAGATATTTTGAAGTATTAAAATTTGGCACAAAAAATAATACAATTTATGGATTGAATAGAAATGCGGTTAAGATTCCTGTGTTCGCGAACGGGAATATCCTTTCACTAAACGATGTCCACAACTGTTTGTCGGAGACAGGAGTGGAAGCCGTGATGTCTGCTGAGGGCCTTCTCCACAATCCGGCCCTTTTCACGGGCAAAAGGGTTGCCGTTTGGACGGTTGCCCAACAATACCTAAAGCTCGCCAAACAATATCCCTGTCCACTGTCTTTCATTAGGGGTCATATCTTTAAGTTCTTCTATCATTGCTTTACTTTGCCTGAGAATGAAGACTTGAGGGAAAGGGTAGCGAAAGCGCACTCAACCGATGTCTTCGAAGACGTGACACAACAGTTGAAGAGTAGATATGAAGAGATATATGAAAGAGAAGCCAAAAATACAAACAATTGGAGTGACAGCACAAGTGTTCCGCCGTATATCTGTCAGTCCTATATTAGACCCGAACCCAAATCGACGGATCCATTGATGGCAACAAAAAGAAGTACTGAAGAGGAGGACAATTGTGGAGAAGAATGTGAAAGAAGAATATCGAAGAAGAAGTTAAAGCGAATGAATCGAATGGTTAGCTGTGAAGAGAGGGTCAAAGTGGGGAACAAACGAATTCTGTGCGCTTTGTGTCCCAATCCGAAGGGAGAGAAATGCGATTATGGCATCTGTCGGACCTGTTGTCGCAAAAAGACATATTTAGAAACACTGGACTGCACCGGTATGTCACCCATTGGTTGTTGGTATTGTATATAATTTGATGAAATGTTATTTATATTTTTTAGGCCATAAGTTCCAAATGAAAACTCGTTTCAATAAGAAATGTCAAAACATAAACACATGTAACACATAATTGTATTTAATTTAACACTGAATTTTATTTTGAAAACAATAAATTCTTTTGAAATATACATTTCGTGTTAATTTATAATTTATAAACTACATTACAATGGATTAATAATGTTTATACTTGAAATATAGTTGTAATAAAAGCACAAATCCTAACGTAAGTCAGCAATACTTGAGATAACTTATAAAGTATCAATTGATTTGGTTCATAGATATACAGTATAATTGACTAGCAATACAAGAGTTGTTTGTATGAGTCGGTCGTACAAAAATAATTATAATATCAACTATTTAAAGACAAAATGAAGACATTTTCGCAATTTGTTTTGGGATAAGAATACAGATTTAAGTAATATATGTATAAACGGATAGATTTGATTATAAGTTATAATTCAATTAATATAGTATAACAAATGTTTGCCAAATAATGGGTGCTATGTATGTGTTGAAAATGAGGCACAAATTAAAACCTAAATAATAATATTTAATAATTATAATATAATAACAAAATTTATTTAAATGAATATTCAAGTGATTCTACAGTAAAGCTAACATTAGTCGAAATCATAAATGCAAATACAGTACACAATATTACAGTATATTACTGTATATTCATATATTTGATAATTGTTTAATTTGAAAAATACTGCTTTCAATCAGAAAATTTGTTATCAATAGTTTGTAAGAATAATATTATATATATATTTTAAATCACTTTTGAAACATTGATTCTTGAGAATAGTTTTTCATTTGAAATGAAATCCATTGAAATGAATGTCAAAGTGATGTGCGTTTAAATGTCATTAAAATTTATTATTTCTATATTTTCATGAATTGATGGCAAAACAAATCAATTACTTCATTACAATAATTATGAAATCATATAATTGTCACTCGACTGAAGAGAAGGTAGAGAAGAGTAGTGGAGTTATCGCTGATTAGATGTCTGTCCAGCGGCTGCATTAAGTACTCGACTGCCGGCATTCATATGCTGTAAGTTATGGTTATGGTTGTGATGATGTGATACACGACTATTAATTAGATTATTATTGGTTGGCATTAGATTTGGTGGCGAATACATCATCCCTGGCATCGACCCCATCGACCCGTTTGAACACGAGTTGGACCGCTCTCTGAGTCCTTTGTTGTCGGCGGTCGACATCTTCGAGAAGGCCAGCAAAGTGTCGGGAAAGTTGGGGGGAGTGGCCGGGGTGTTGGCCGGGGTGCACATCTACACAATCATATATATCATACAATTACACTCCATTTGAGGTCAACATAGTTATCAAATTGCTTTCAATATAGGATTATAGATATATAGATATATTGGTCACAACAACAAACTGGTTGTCATGACTGGATGTGCTATAAATGCATTCATCTCTCATTGCTNCATTCAAACCCACACTTTAAAGCCGTGAGTCTTTCTTTTCATCACTATCTCTATCCATGTCTTCAGTCATATCATATGAATGGCAGTCATATTCAATACAAACATATATTACACATATTTATAGTACAAATTGCATTCAATTCCTACGATATTCTCGTCATTTAAAATGAATACATTTGTCACAATAAATGGTTAGCGGTTTAGGGATCAGATAATGAGAGGTCTTGTGTGTTGAGTAGTCATCGCACGGGTAGTGGTTATGTTTACCTATGCTTTTGTATGTGTATCACACAAAACACACCACCATTTGTTGCCATTTCCTTAATATAATAAGCACTAAGACTGGACCACAAGATGTCCTATAGGTCTTGAACAGGACCACTGATGGCCAACTTGTAACCCTGGTCACTCTAATACTAATCTATATAACAATATGAAATTGAATTACTTGTCAGGTTTTGTTTATCCTTGAAGTGTTTGATTGCATTTTAAGCCTTATATTGTAAGGTATTTATAGGATATCATATATTATTGACTAATTATGCATTCATTTCTTATTAATTGCTAATATTTGTGTTAATTTGTATATTTGGATCAATTTATAAGATGTTATATGAATTGGTGTCAAAATGCAATTGTATTGAATGTTTAAATCTAGACTCAATTTAGACAAAATTGATTCAAAAGTATTGCGCAAAACAAGTATTAATCGCATCACTAATGAAACCCATATTTATTATAAGCAATGCTTTACTGTAAGTGTTATATAAGTTATTAATATTTATATCAATTCAATGTTATCTTGCATTTGATTTCTTTATAGTAAGTAAAAACAACGCTTTGATAATAAAGTCGAGAATAGTATTGAATAGAAATGATTGCATTTGATTTGTAAATAAGGTTAACGACCGCACAACTGATGTTTATTTATTATTTGTTTGTTTATATGAAATATTTCATTCAATTGGTGTTGAATTGAATTCACTGAAAAGCATTAGACAAGTGATAGAAAAGTCTTTAAAACTGGATTTACTTATAGTTGAAAGCAATGAGCGATGAATGCATTTATAGCACATCCAGTCATGACAACCAGTTTGTTGTTGTGACCAATATATCTATATATCTATAATCCTATATTGAAAGCAATTTGATAACTATGTTGACCTCAAATTGAGTGTAATTGTATGATATATATGATTGTGTAGATGTGCACCCCGGCCAACACCCCGGCCACTCCCCCCAACTTTCCCGACACTTTGCTGGCCTTCTCGAAGATGTCGACCGCCGACAACAAAGGGCTCAGAGAGCGGTCCAACTCGTGTTCAAACGGGTCGATGGGGTCGATGCCAGGGATGATGTATTCGCCACCAAATCTAATGCCAACCAATAGTAATCTAATTAATAGTCGTGTAGCACATCATCACAACCATAACCATAACTTACAGCATATGAATGCCGGCAGTCGAGTACTTAATGCAACCGCTGGACAGACATCTAATCAGCGATAACTCCACTACTCTTCTCTACCTTCTCTTCAGTCGAGTGACGATTATATGATTTCATAATTATTGTAATGAAGTAATTGATTTGTTTTGCCATCAATTCATGAAAATATAGAAATAATAAATTTAAATGACATTTAAACGCACATCACTTTGACATTCATTTCAATGGATTTCATTTCAAATGAAAAACTTTTCTCAAGAATCAATGTTTAAAAAGTGATTTAAAATATATATATAATATTATTCTTACAAACTATTGATAACAAATTTTCTGATTGAAAGCAGTATTTTTCAAATTAAACAATTATCAAATATATGAATATACAGTAATATACTGTA